CTCTGTCTCCCCTGCCAACACACGAACTGTTAACGAACGACGGCGAGGCTGCCCTGCGAGCGCTAGGTAAGAGCAAGATGTACGTCCTCGAGTGAACGGACTCCTGGGGGGCGATCCCCCCGACACAGAGGCATAGAATCTTGCATAATATACATAGGCAGAAGACAAGAAGCCAGGTTTTTTTTCCTTGTGTCCCTTGGCGTGTCGCGCTCAAGTACTTGTGCCATCCTTCACTGCTCTTCCTGGTCACAGCAGAGAGCTGGCCTGGAAGAGGGGCAACCGGGACAGAATCCAGCGCCCCAACCGGGACTAGAACCCGGTGTGCCGGCGCCGCTAGGCGGAGGATTAGCCTAGTGAGCCGCGGCGCCGGCCCTGGCTCCTGCCATCGGATCAGCGCGGTGTGCTGGCTGCAGCGCGCCAGCCGTGGCGGCCATTGGAGGGTGAACCAACGGCAAAGGAAGACCTTTCTCTCTGTCTCTCTCTCTCACTGTCCACTCTGCCTGTCAAAAAAAAAAAAAAAAAATTCTTAACAGGGCCAGTGCCATGGCACAGTAGGTTAATCCTCCGCCTGCGGCGCTGGCATCCCATATGGGTCCCTGGCTCCTGGCTTCGGATCGGCACGGCTCCAGCTGTTGTGGCCATTTGGGGAGTGAACCAACGGAAGGAAGAGCTTTCTGTCTTTCCCTCTCACTGTCTGTAACTCTATCTCTCAAATAAATAAAATCTTTTAAAAAAAATTCTTACCAATTCTGTGGGACCAAAACAACAACCGTGGGACATCAACGCAGGTTTGCCTGAGCCCTGTGGAAGAGTCACCAGGATGTGGAATATTGCTGGAAAACCAAGAGATGGGTGCAAGGTGAGAGAGACTGTGGGGAACATTTGGGAGGACTTCCATAATCAGTGGATCTTTTAATTCCATAAAACAAGGATTGGAGCCAGTTAGGGGGCAGAGCTCCCAGGGTGGGGACACCCAGGGAAAGCTGCACCTTATGGGCAGAATGTGGGTCACAGCCAAGGAGAATTTGTGAGTACCCAGGGAAGTCGTGCAAGGCTCTTTTCATGTCCTTATTTTCCCTAACTTAATCACAACCAGTGGAGCCACACTTTATTTGTCCCTGCTTCATCTTTTTTTTTTTTTTTTGACAGAGTTAGAGAGAGAGAAAGGTCTTCCTTCTGTTGGTTCACCCCCCAAAATGGCCACAATGGCTGGAGCTGTGCCGATCCAAAGCCAGGAGCCAGGTATTTCCTCCTGGTCTCCCATGCGGGTGCAGGGGCCCAAGCACTTGGGCCATCCTCCACTGTGCTCCCGGGCCACAGCAGAGAGCTGGACTGGAAGAGGGGCAACCGGGACTAGAACCAGCACCCATATGGGATGCCGGCGCTGCAAGTGGAGGATTAACCAAGTGAGCCACAGCACCATGTCCCTGCTTCATCTTTAACACATGGTGTCTTAATTCAGTCCTAAAAAAACCCATCGACCCTGGAGTGCATGTCACAGGTGAAGCCTGAATTGAATCCTGACAGGTTCAGGCTGTGTCTACACATGACCTGAGAATGGTGGTGACACAGACCTCCCAGAATCTCTTTACCATAGGAATGCAAAGTGGTGCCCCAGATGTCAGTCTTCTGACGGGAACCGGGTCAGTGAGACCCCGTGCAGTCCCGGCAGTGACTGAGTGTACCGGGAACCAGGTCAGCGAGACCCCGTGCAGTCCCCGCAGTGACTGCGTGTAGCAGGATGTCTGTAGCTTTACTTTCCATCCGTCCCTCTCTGTGGTGAGGAGAGCAAGTTAAACGAGGACGTGTTTGTCAGAGAGCTTTCAGGGGGCAGGCTTTAGTCTAGCTGTTGGGAAGCCCCTATCCCATAGGAGGGAGAGAACGAGCCTGGGTTCGACCTGGCTCTGGTCCGCTTCCAGCTTCCTGGGAGGCAGTGAGGATGGCTCAAACAAGCGGGTTCTCGCCGTCCATGCGGGAGACCTAGGCCGAGTGCCCAGCCCCGCTCCAGCTCCAGGCAGTGTGGACAGTTGGGAGGTGAACCAGTGACGGAGCCCTCTCTTCATCACTCATCTTTTTGCCTCTTTGGGCCTCTCAGCCTCACAGATAAGGAGAAAGAAAACCCGGCAGATCCCAGGAGCCCAGAGCAGGTCAGACTGGAAACCTGAAGACAGCAGGTGCCCCAGGAGCGGGAGATGGCCCTTGTCCCTGCAGTTCAGCCACGTCGGGGCAGGTCAGGGGTCTGGTGGCGGTGGCCCAGCGGCAGCGCGGTAGCCATGCATCTCATGCAGTCCCGCACGGGCCCAGTCCTGCGCTCCCGGCGCTCAGTCCCTGCATGGACACCAGATGGGCGACGCGGGTCGAATGGGTGCCCCTGGTGGGGGACGCGGGTCGAATGGGTGCCCCCGGTGGGGGACGCGGGTCGAATGGGTGCCGCCCCCGTGGGTGACGCGGGTCGAATGGGTGTCCCTGGTGGGGGACGCGGGCCGAATGGGTGCCCCCGGTGGGGGACGCGGGTCGAATGGGTGCCGCCCCCGTGGGTGACGCGGGTCGAATGGGTGCCCCCGGTGGGGGACGCGGGTCGAATGGGTGCCCCCGGTGGGGGACGCAGGTGGAATGGGTGCCCCCCGGTGTCTGACTATGCCAGGCCCTCGCCAGGCTGACTTACAACTCTAGAAAGGCACAGAACTTCCAGAACTTTGCCCCTGAGAGACACGGCGGGCAGACAAGGCCCAAGGATTCTGCATTGCACAGATTTAAGGACTGGGGGAACGATATCACCTAAAATAAAAGCTGCGAAAAGGTAATGTGTCACTGTTATCTACACTTAACCGTACAAAGGTCACCGCTCCTCGCAACAAGCGGATCGTCATTCCAATAAAGCCACCGCAGACTACGCCAATTAGCTGGGCGGCGAAGGTGGGCGGAGCCAGCAGCAAACCGCAGTTCGGCAGCGCATCACTAGTTCTCGCGAGAACTCCAGGACCCACCCCCGCCCGCCCCTGCAGCCGGCCACGTGACTCTCCGGGCCGCTCGCGCTCCCCGTTCCTCCACGCCGAGCAGCCACGTCGGCGGCGTCCGCGGTCAGGGGAGGGGCGTGGCGAAGGTACGTGCGTGGTACGTGCCCCGCCCCTCCCCGCCCAGAGCCCGGATGAAGAGTAACGCCATTACCGCCGGAGTAGCTGAGAACATTCGCGGACAGGCACTGGACACCTGACGGGCCGCACCATGAGACTCCTCCCCCGCTTGCTTCTGCTTCTGCTGCTCGTGTTCCCCGCCACCGTGCTGCTGCGAGGCGGCCCGGGAGGTGAGACGAGGGCAGAGGGCGGCGGGGACCGGCCGCGAGGAGACGGCCGCCACGACGAGTTGGACGTTGGCGGTCCCGGGGTCCGCGTCCCCCTCGCCGGCCGGTCGCTGCCCCGCTCGTGGGAGGAGGCGCCGCGCCCGGGCGACCCTGCTGCTGGGCCCCGGAGCGGCCGCCGGGGTGGCCGGAGCGGCGGGCGCCCGGCGGTTCGCGGGGCCGCCGGCGCCGCCCCCGGGGCGCGCAGGGCTGACGTGTCTCTGGCTGCCCGCGCTCGGGGCGCGCCTTCATTCATTCGCAGACACGCTTGCCTGCCGCTCGCCTGCGCCGTCCGCGCGTCCTGTGTGCCTGCGAATGCCGCGTGCTGACCTCTGGGTGCTAACCAGAAGCCTTGATTTCCGAGAAGTCGCCCGGTGCTGCTCCCGGACGCACTGGGGGGTCCCTGCTCTGCTCTCCCTCCCCACCCCCGCTTTTTAATTTTTTTTTTTTTTATTTTTTTGCTAGCCTAAGAATCGTGCTGGAGACACTGTGTCGTTGCCCTGGCGTTTTGCGTTGTGTTGAGTGGGCTTATTCTCGGCCAGCAGTGACGTGGTGTGGAAACAGCCTCGCAGGACGCGCAGGCTTGGAGACGTGTGCTCTCGCCCCGCTCTCGCCTTGCGCGGCGATATTCCGGCTGGGGGAAGAGTTAGGCTGACTGAGGGCTCACCAGACTTGCGAATTTAAGCGAAGTGTGTGGGTGGCCGCTTCGGTGACAGGGGCAGGTCTGTCCAGGAGCTGCTTCGCAAAGAAAGGCGGAGTGAATCGGGTGGGCAGAAGACCCCGGGGGAGAATTCACCAGAAGTGTGCACGAGTTCACTTGCTGGCTAAAGAGAGAGATTCCACACACACACACACACACCCCGCAGCCCCGGCTTCCCAGTTTGTTTTTATCTGGCTTTTTAAAGAAAATGAGTTTTTGAACCTAGGTGACATTTTACAGGTCTTAAAAATGCTTGAAATGTCCTTTCAGTATCTAAACAGAATTGAATATTTTGAAAATATTTTTTTGTGAGGGACGGTTTTTCTTTCAAAAAGTTAAAAGTTTCAAAAAGTTTCCGTTGAAAAATGGTCTGTTTTGCAGGCACGAAACTGTTATTTGATTACTGTCAAAATAATGAAATTGTTGGCTGTCCACATAAAGTACGGTGAAAAAGCCATTATGTATATTCACATGCGTTCACATTTAACCAAGGATCACACCGAGTTGCTGGGTCAGACATGGATTTTTTGGTGCTGGTTCTTGAAAATGACTTGTTAGGAAGGCACTGCTCATATTTTAGCCTTTGTTCACCAAGCAGCAGTGGAAGCTTTTCAGTTCACTGCACGATTCAGTGTTCTTTAATGTTTTGCCAAAATCCTAACAGCCAGGGAGAACCCAAGGATCTGGAAAAAACTTAGAATGCGTGGTCTCGCCTGAGCAGCGCACATGCACATGCGTTTCTTTCCTCCCTGAATTGCCACATCATCATTCGTTCTGAGAAATGTGAGAAGAGTCACTGCAGCTTTGAACTTCTCCTGAGGGTCTTGTCTGAAGTAGACTCGGTGTGGCTTATTTTGCCTTTTATAAAACTGATTTATAACAGTTGCATTTTTACTTTGTGATATTAAATGCAGGAGAAAAGAAGTGTTTTAAGACATGTTTAAAGCCATTTACAAAAGAAATAGAATCTTCTCTCTGTTATTAACCCTGAAATTAGTAATAGAATTTTTACTAAATAGAATGTTTTAGCCAGACTGGTCTTCACCAGGGATTTGAAACAGATGTTTGTTTCTTGGAATTCCGTGCTGTCGGATTCTACGGGCTTCAGCTGTAGTCAGCTCTTAGTGACAGTGCGTCTTGCCTAGATATCGAGAAGACTGGTTTTTTTAGACTTTAGGTTGCGTTTTCTTATAGTGACAGGGATTACGTTTAGGAGTTTCTTAACTGCAGCAAACTGACTTTCCTTGATTTGCTAACACGACTGCTTGACGTCCTTTATTTGGGCTTCAGGGCATCTTTACTTTCTGCAGTTTGTCTTCTCTGATGTGTCATGCTTTTTATAAGTAAGCAGCATTCCCCATCAAAATGAACATGCAGCCGTTGCTGCCCGGCAGCTGTGCCTGGCTGCGAGTTGGCATTATTCAAGTGGGAACTGGGTTGCTCCGGAGGGAAAGCTGCTGTGCCTGTACTTTATTTAAAAGCATGGGTGTTCCAGGGTGAGGACCGACTGCTTGGTTTACGTCTTCTCCTTAGGCTCACTAGCAGAGGCTCAGGATCTTACGGAGGATGAAGAAACAGTGGAAGATTCGGTAATCGAAGATGAAGATGATGAAGCTGAGGTAGAGGAAGATGAACCCACGGATTTGGTTAGTGTTCTGTAGTCTTTAATAACTAGAATGTGTATGATACCGCTACAATTCTTTTTTGTTTTAATTGAGAGACAGAAGGAGAGGGAATGGCCCCCATCTGCTGGTTAACCCTGCCCCCAGTGCCTGCAGTTACTGGTGCTGGGCCAGGAGCTGGGAATTTAGTCTGGGCTTCGTGTGTGGGCGGTGGGAACTGTTATTTGAACCATCACTGCTGCCTTCCAGGCTCTGCATTAGCAGAAAGCTAGAGTCAGGAGCCCGGGCCCTTCACCATGTCGTGTAAGTATGAACCTGCATCTTAACTCTTAGGTTAATAAATGCCTGTGCCTAGAAGTTATTATTTTCATATGAAAACTTGGTATTGAAACTCTGACCTTAAGAGGCTGGTTAGTGTGATGAGTTGACTGAGACTGGGGCAGTAGGGGCCAGTCACTGAGGACAGAGCATGAGTATTTTCTGGAACGGGAGGGAGACGTGTGGACACTTGCAGGGAGGTGACCAGTATATTGGGAATAGCACTGAACCATGCATTGACAGGTTTGGGAAACCTGCTGTGTCGCTCTCTGACTTCACTTCTCTGGCTCTCGATTTCTATTTCTTCTTGCTTGCTTCGCTTGCTTTCAACGTGCAGGTGTTTATAGTTCTGTGTGCCAGGCACTGTTGTGGGTGCTGAGATGAGGAAACCAGATATTTTCTCTGCTATCTTGGGCTTTGTGTTCTTGGGTTATTGTATACATGATTTTGGTGCAGATAGTTAGGGGCAACAGTAAATAGTACATAAATAGGTCCTGTGGAGAGTAAGAGAGTAGAGAAGACCTCTTTGAAGTTGTCCAGCACTGACATTTTAAAATCTAACTAGTACCTCAGTAAGAATCTTGGTCTGGAATCTAGCTCTGCGTATACATCAAGCTGATTTTGTTTCCTACCTGAGTCTACTGTAATCTTTCTGTTTTTGAATGTCAAACCTTTTATGATTCTAGATTTTGTTGGTTTCTTCAAGATTAAACCTCCAATTCCCCATTTTCCTGTTTCGATGCCAACAAGTCTTGGATATGGAAGACTTCTTTTGACTTTCTTGTATCTGAAAGGCAAAGAAAGAGACAGCTGGGAGATGCACTGGTTCACATTCCAGATGCTTTCGGTAGTCAGGGTTGGGCCAGGCTGGCGCCAGGAGCCGGGACTTCAGTCTGTCTTCTGTGCGGATGCCAGAGCCCTGCCTGTGCTCCACGTGTACTTCAGCAGGGAGAGAGCAGAGCTGGCACCCACACTGGGCGCTCCAGTAGGGCAAGCCGCAGCCTAGCCGCTGTGTCAGACCCCCGCCGCAGACGGTATTCTTGTGGCATGTGCCTTCCACCTAAGCTAGTCTTGCTATTATGTTGATGTTTGTGACTTACCATTTTCATATGTCTGCGCATATTCATTAATTGACCTGGGTAGAACTAGCACACCTCTGCTGATTTGTACACCTTCCCGACTCCCCCTCCGTCAGGAGGCCTCTTTCAGCCTGCCGTGTTTGTGTACTGCACTTTCAGGGTTTATGTTGGGGCTGCGCATCTTCAGTCTGCATCATAGAGGATCAGCTTGAGCTAGATCGATACAGTCCTACTTTATTTTGGGGAGTAAATATTCTGAGAGGAAAGTATTAGAAAGGCAGAGTGGGGGGGGAATAGACACCCACTGTTTTACTCCCTATGTGGCCACAACTGCCAGGATTGAGTCAGGCTGAAGCTGGGATCCCAGAACTCCATCCAGGTCTGCCATATGGGTGGCAAGGTTCCAAGGACTTGGGACATTATCCACCTGCTTTCACAGGTGCGTGAGCAGGAAGCTGGATCAGAAAGGGAGCAGCTGGGACTTGGACTGACGCTCAGATATGGGATGCTGGAGTCATAGGGGTTGCTTCACTTCCTGCACCACAGTGCTGCGGCCAGCATTGTATGTTACAGCCGTTTCCCTGAAATTAGGCTCTTCAGCACTGGAATATACTTACCGTGGAGGAAGAGGGTAGAGAAGGAAATTGTTAGATCTTTGATGTTTTTATAACGTTGGTCAGGACCTTTTCATATCTTAATTCCCCTACTGGGAATACCACTAGAGGAAAAAGAACAGCTCTGCTTGTGTACTTCCCACGTGGTCAGTTAGTACAAAAGTGTTAGTACTCTGTTGCTTTTCTCAAATCAGAAAATAGTTAGGGTAGAGTGAAATGGGAAGACAGGGAGAGTGTGTTCTTCTTTGTGCTAGACCATTGTGGCAATAGCAGGCCGTGTGTGGACTCTCTAAGAAAAATGCCCCCTCCCCCCAAAGCCAGAACTGCACAGAAGCACCTCTGGAACTTGTGAGCCAGAATTCCGGTTGCTCCCAGGCTTCTGTGTTACCAGCTTGTCCTCAGCTGCTACGGCTTCCAGGAAGGTTGGGAGGTAGAGGACGAACTCTTGCCGCTGAGCTTGTGTCCTGGACTCAAGCAAAGGAAAAGAGCTCTTCCTAAGCTTTGAGATAAAAAACGCTGGTTGTGTGTGTGTGTGTGTGTGCGTGTGCATGCGCACACACACATGCGCTTGCGCTTTAATTATCTTTATGTATTTGAAAATCAGAGAGAGAGAGAGAGATTTTCCATCTCCTGGTTCAATGCCTAGATGGCCAAAACGGCCAGGGCTGGGCCAGGCTGAAGCCAGGAGCGTCATCCGGGGTCTCCCACATGGGTGCAGGGGCCCAGGGACTTGGGCCGTCTGCTGCTGCTTTCCCAGGCACAGTAGCAGGGAGCTGGATCAGAAGCCAGGATTGAACCTGGTGCCGATTTGGGATACTGGCATTGCAGGTGGCAGCTTAACCTGTTGGGCCACAACAGCTGCCTCAGTGGCTGGTTTTGGTGGAAGTTACTGGTTTAAATTGTTTTAGCACAAAGCTTTGTATTTTTTTAAAATCACCTTGGACTTTTCTGTCCTGTTGTCCTTTTGCTCTTTAAAGCTATGGGTTGTGATGGAACTTGCCATCCTTTCCTACAAGTATTTTTTTTTAAACAGAAATGATAGATTTTTATCATTTTTTTTTAAGAATTTTTCCCCCATTTTATTTGAAAGGCCAGAGAGATGAGAGATGGGGAGAGAGAGCTTCTGTTCACTGGTTGACTACCCCAGATACCTGGAACAGCTGGTGCTGGGCCAGGTGAAGCCTGGAGCTAAGAGCTAATTTGGGCCTCCATGTCGGTGGCAAGGATCCAACTACTTGAGCTGTACCAAGGATATAGGAGGTTGGAATTGAACTCGAGTTCAAGCAGCATCTTAACCACTGTACCAAAAAAATACCTGCTCTGCTTTTGTTTTTATCAAAAGTATAGTAACGGGGCTGGCATTGTGGTACAGCCAGTTAAGCTGCCGCTTGCCGTGCCAGCGTTACATACCTGAGCACTGTCCAGATCCTAGCTGCTCTGCTTCCAGTCCAGCTTCCTGCTGATGCACTTGGGAAAGCAGCAGATGATGGCTCCAGTGCTCGGGCCTCTGCCTTCCCTGAGGGAGACCTGGATGGTTCTGGGCTTCCAGCTTCAGCCTGAGTCAGCTCTAGCCATTTTGGCCATTTAGGGGAGTGAACCAGTACACCAAAGATTTTAATCTATCTTTCTCTGTCACTCTGTCAAAAAAAAATTATTCTTGGGGCTGGGTTGTGGCACACCAGGGTAAGGTTCTTTGCAATGCTGGCATCCCCTGTCGTGGTGTCAGTTTGAGTCCCTGCTGCTCTGCTTCTGATCCAGCTCCCTGCTGATGCACCTGCGAAGGCAGTGGAAGATGGCCTTGACACCCACGTGGAGGGAAACCTGGTGGAGTTCTTGGCTCCTTTGATCTGGCCCGGCCCTGGCTGTTGGACCATTTGGGAAGTGAATCAGCAGATGGAATATCTTTTTCCCTGTATCTCTCCCTTTCTCTTGGTCACTCTGCATTTCAAATAAACAAATCCTTTTTAAAAAATAAAAATGTTTAAAATGTCTCAATTTAAAAGGAATAATAATATTTCAAAAAGTTCATGGAAAATGAAATAAAAAGATTATTTTGGTGGGAAAATTTTTGAAGTCCGTGCATAGATTTTTTGTAAGATGTGTTTTCCATGAACTTTCTGCAGGCCTTGACTATTTGTGGTTTTCAGTGTTTTTGCAATAAAATAAACTTGTTTTAATACCATTTCTGAAGTGACCTTATATAAGAGATATAGTACAAATTCCCCTTGCTCAGTGGCTGCCTAACCACTGTGCCAAGCCACTGAGCTTGTCTCCCCATGGGCAGCCAGTGTTGCTAGGCTTTTTTTGCCCTACTCAGTCAGTTTGTAATAGCAGAAATATTTTCGTGTTTACAGGGCAGCAGGTACTAAGCTTTGTACATCTTAGAGTATGCTGGTTACCTCTAAGATAAGTTATTCACCTTTACTTTCATATACTTTCCAGTTTTCTATAACCAGTATTCCAACAATTAATACTTTCAAGCCCCTAAAATCAGTCCTCGTTGGCAGCTGTACTGCCTTTGATGTCAAGTGTGAACTCCCTCATTTTCTGATTTCCACTTCTAAAGAAATTGTGGACCTTGCTGTGTTTTCTCCTTGATAGCAAGCTGTCATCACTCTCTTCTGAGGCTAGCTCTTCCACTTGTGCTTTGTAGCTGCGGGAGTTGATCCTTCTCAGTGACTCGATTGTGCTAAGCTTACACGCAGTTTGTGTATCTTAAGCTGCTACCCACTTTTTGTCTTTACCAGTGCCAGTTACTTCCTTTTTTAAATTAAGATTTATTTTATTTGAAAAGCAGAGTTAGAGAGAGAGAGGGAAAGACAAAGAGGTCTTGCAGGTTCACTCCTCAAATGGCCGCAATAGCCAGGGCAGGGCCAGGCCAGAGCCAGAAGCCTCCTCCTGGTCTCCCCTGTGGGTGCAGGGACCCAAGCACTCGGACCATCTTCTAATGCTTTCCAGGCCATTAGCAGGGAGCTGGATTGGAAGAGGAAGCCAGGACTCAAAACAGCACCCATGTGGGATGCCAGCGCCGTAGGTGGAGGCTAATCTCTGCCACCATGCCGGCCCCTCGGATGAGTCTTTTTATTTATTTGAGAGGCAGAGTTCCATACAGATAGAGAGAAAGATCTTCCCTCTCCTGGCTCACTCCCAAATGGTTGCAACAATTGGAAACAAGGAGCCAGAAGCTTGTTCAGAGTCTCCCATATAGGTGCAGAGGCCCAAGCACTTGGGCTATCTTCTGCTTTCCCAGGCCGTAGGCAGAGAGCTGGATCAGAAGTGGAGCAGCTGGGATTTGAACTGGCACCTGTATGGAATGCTGGCCCTAAAGGCAGCAGCTTTACCCACTATGCCAGAGCACGAGCCCAAGTATAAGAATCTTTGTCTTTGGGGCTGCTATTGTGATGAAGCGGCTTAAGCTGCTTCCTGCGATGCCAGCATCTCATACCAGAATGTCTGTTCCAGTCTCAGCTGCCTACCAGTGTTTCTGGAAAAGCAGCAGTAGATGGCCTAAGTACCTGGGCCTTTGCCACCCACATGGAAGACCCCAGTGGAGCTCTGGCTCCTGGCTTTGGCTTGGTCCAGACCTGATTGTTGTGGCCATTTGGAGAATCAGCCAGCTATTTATGGAGTAGAGTGTGGGAATCTCCATCTGTTTGCTTGCCCTACCAGCGCCATAGGTGGAGGCTAATCTGTGCCAGCATGCCAGCCCCTCAGATGAGTCTTTTTTTTCTAAAAATTTTATTTATTTATTTGAGAGGCAAAACCAAAGCCAGGAACCTGGAACCCAGTCTAGGTCTCCCATATGGTTGGTGGGAGCCCAAGTACTGGCCCATGATCTGCTGTCTCTCAGGATGCATTAGAAGGAAGCTGTATTGGAAGCAGAGCAGCTGGGCCTTAAACTAGCACTGTGGATAGGGGATGAGTGTGTTCCAAGCTGTAGCTTAGCCTACTATAACACAACAACTACATCATGTGCTAGAAGTTTTTTTCTTACTTTCAAGATATGAATCCATGCCACTAATTCCAGCAGATCCGTGAAGAAGGAGTAGTTCATCCCATTCTACTGAAATCTTTGTTTTAAATTTTACTTCTTTGAGAAACAGAGAAAGAGGAGAACTCCTGTCTGCTGATTCATTCCTCTGTCTACTGATCGATTCCTCAGATGCCCGCAGTGGCCGGGACTGGGCCAGCGATCACAGCTGGAAACGCAGTCGAGGTCTCCTGTGTGCTGGCCATCGCTGCTACCTCTGAGGGCTGCGTTAGCAGGCCGCTGAAGTCAGGAGCCTAGGCTGGGTTCTGTTATGTGGATGCAGGCGTCTTGACCACTGGTCATCACGTGTACCTCGAAATCTTTATTTTTAAATGGCTTTGTGGTTTTCCCCATAGTAATCCCTTTTTAATGTTGTTTTCTTAGGCAGAAGATAAGGAAGAAGAAGATGTTTCTGGTGAACCAGAAGCTTCACCAAGTGCAGATACAACTATCTTGTTTGTAAAAGGAGAAGGTAATATAGAGTGTTAGTTTTAATTCAGACACAGCAATTTTACAACAAAGCTTGCTCTTTGGAGGGAAGAATTTGTAATGCTTAAGATCTTACTCATCAGGGTCGGTGCTATGGCGTAGTGGGTAAAAGCCGCCACCTGCAGTGCCAGCATCCCCTGTGGGCGCTGGTTCGAGTCCTGGCTGCTCCACTTCCGATCCAGCTCTCTGCTAAGGTCTGGGAAAGCAGTAGAAGATGGCCCAAGTCCTAGGGGCCCTGCACCCACATGGGAGACCCGGAGGAAGCTCCAGGTTCCTGGCTTCAGATCGGTGCAGCTCCAGCCGTTGCAGCCAATTGGGGAGTGGACCAGCAGATGGAAGACCTCTGTCTCACTCTGTCTCTCTCTCTCCCTCTCTCTCTCCTTCTCTCTCTCCTCTCTCTGTGTAATAAATAAATAAATCTTAAAAAAAAGAAATTCTAGGCCGGCGCCGCGGCTCACTAGGCTAATCCTCCGCCTTGCAGCGCCGGCACACCGGGTTCTAGTCCCGGTCGGGGCACCGGATTCTGTCCCGGTTGCCCCTCTTCCAGGCCAGCTCTCTGCTGTGGCCAGGGAGTGCAGTGGAGGAAGGCCCAGGTGCTTGGGCCCTGCACCCCATGGGAGACCAGGAGAAGCACCTGGCTCCTGGCTCCTGCCATCGGATCAGCGCGGTGCACCGGCCGCAGCGTGCTGGCCACTGCAGCCATTGGAGGGTGAACCAACGGCAAAAGGAAGACCTTTCTCTCTGTCTCTCTCTCTCACTGTCCACTCTGCCTGTCAAAAAAAAAAAAAAAAAAAAAAAATTCTAAAGCCTCTGAAAGCACACTTTAAAAAAAGATCTTACTCATCTTCCTCTTACATAACAAGTATTGTGCAAACAGTATTTTGAAAAATCTTGGTATATACATCAATATGCATATCCCTAAGGAAGTGTTGCTGGCATTTCAGTGCTGTTCAGTTTAAGTAGAAATTAAATGTCCTTTTTAAAGATGCTGTTTCTTAGCTTTTTTTAGATTGCCATAGCAAAGTAATTTTGTCCTATTTCAAGTACTAAATATTAGTGAGATATTAAATCTTTCCAGTTAGGCCTTGGTTAAAGCCTCTGTGGTTGGCACTATCTCAACTTTGTGTGTGTCATTTAATGCTAACCAGCCTTTAAGCCTAGCTTTTTTGGTCTGAGGTTTTGAGATGTTAAGAAACTTGTCCACTAGCCCAGTTTGTAAATAGATAGTGTGTGGGATTCAGACCCAGATCTTTCTGACCCATGGCCTGTATTGAGCTGGGTAAAACTCAGCTCTAGGCTACAGTATGATTATTAAAGATTTAATGTTGGAAGTTATTAATTTTCTTGGTCTCCTGAAATTTTTGGAATTCCCATGTACTTTTTAACTTCATGCTTAACAAAAAATATGATTTGATTATATTTTTTCTTTTTTTTTTTTCTTTTTTTTTTTTTTTTTTTTTATTTTTTTTTTTGACAGGCAGAGTGGACAGTGAGAGAGAGAGACAGAGAGAAAGGTCTTCCTTTGCCGTTGGTTCACCCTCCAATGGCCGCCGCAGCTGGCGCGCTGCGGCCGGCGCACCGCGTTGATCGATGCAGGAGCAGGAGCCAGGTGCTTCTCCTGGTCTCCCATGGGGTGCAGGGCCCAAGCACCTGGGCCATCCTCCACTGCACTCCCTGGCCACAGCAGAGGGCTGGCCTGGAAGAGGGGCAACCGGGACAGAATCCGGCGCCCCAACCGGGACTAGAACCCGGTGTGCCGGCGCCGCTAGGCGGAGGATTAGCCTAGTGAGCCGCGGCGCCGGCCTATATTTTTTCTTTTTTTAAAAATTTTATTTATTTATTTATTTATTTGACAGGCAGAGTTAGACAGTGAGACAGACAGTGAGAAACGTCTTTCTTCCGTTCGTTCATTCCCCAAATGGCCGCCATGGCTGGCGCTGCGCCAATCCGAAGCCAGGAGTCAGGTGCTTCTCCTGGTCTCCCATGGAGTGCAGGGCCCAACCACTTGAGCCATCCTCCACTGCCTTCCCGGGCCACAGCAGAGAGCTGGACTGGAAGAGGAGCAACCGGGGCAGAATCCAGTGCCCCAACCGGGACTAGAACCTGGGTGCCAGTGCCACAGGCAGAGGATTAGCCTAGTGAGCCACGGTGCCGGCCTTCATTTGTTTTCTAACTGCCTCCTTGAGTCTCCAAATTTGCATTATGACTAATTGCGTTAAGAAGATAGGGATTGCCTGAGCAATTTTTTGTCTTCTAACAAACATATGAACCTCTTAGACTTTTCTGTCATTGTCTGTATTCATCCACACAGGCTATATATTGGGTTGTATATTGTGGGTGTTTTCTGTATACTGATTGTATGCTGGTGGTGATATTACTGCTAAAGGTATGCAGCTCCTTAGACCACATAATTTGGGTGTCATCAGATCTGAAATTGAGATGCTTAGTTCACCCCCTAAACTGGAATGCAGCTGTGTAGACAGAAGGGCTTCTGCTTACCCCAAGCGCCATCACTTGCTGGTTAGTGGGTGACTGGAGTGCTCTCTTGGAAAGGATCCTGACACTGAATCCATACTGCAGGGGGAAGGGTGCCAGAATGCTGGTGATGATTGCCTTTCATTTTGTATTCTTTGAATTTGCTCTAATTCTTGTCTATTTTGTTTCTCAGATTTTCCAGCAAATAACATTGTGAAGTTCCTGGTAGGCTTTACAAACAAGGGTACAGAAGATTTTATCGTTGAATCCCTGGATGCCTCTTTTCGTTACCCTCAGGACTACCAGTTTTATATACAGAATTTCACAGCTCTTCCTCTGAACACTATAGTACCACCCCAGAGACAGGCAACTTTCGAGTACTCCTTCATTCCCGCGGAGCCCATGGGTGGGCGACCCTTTGGTCTGGTCATCAATCTGAACTACAAAGATTTTAACGTAAGGCCCTCTGCACTCTCCTTTTGTTTCACAGGTTAGAGGGGGGTGGGGGCAGTTGACATTGTTCAGCAGATAGTCTTCTGTTCCTTCACATGCCTGTTTTGTGGCTGAAACTGTGTTCAGCACCGTGAGGCGAAGATGAAATCCAGTGGGGTGATGGATGGAAACAGGCAGTAAATCTGTGTGGTGTGCTGCATCCTGGAGATGTGTGTAGGAAGGTGTTGTGTGAGAGTGGAGATAACCTGAGCTGGGCCTTAAAAGGGCAAGGAGCAGCAGTCCGTAGCGTAGAGACCACTGCTTCCGGAGGTTAAATGTGTGTTAAACAATTTGTGTCCCCTGTAGCTTGCATTTTGCCCACTTTACTGCTTCTATTTGTAAGTTTTAAAGACGTGTGTTCCTAGGTTTCCATTGTTTTATACACCCTTAGACAGAGTGGTCCCAGATGCTTTTACAGTAGTTCAGCAGCAGGGTTTATGCTTTAGTTTTATGAGAAAAGAATGTCCAGTATTAGCTCTGATGTCATGTGGTTCTTACTCTGTATTACAAGCCAGTGACTGAGGAAGATGCCCTAGAGTTTTACTGCCGAGAGTTGGCCTCTGGATGCCAGCTAAGATGTCCTTCAGCTGAGAGCACAACTGGATCGTTGCCTTTTCAGAAAGTTTTCAGAGAAGAAAGTCTCACCCTTGCTTAGAGGCTTATTCAAGCTTTTGTCTTCCTGGTGTTAAATGTCTGCTTTATGCCTGAGCTATATAAACATTTTTAATATTTATGTATTTATCTGAAAGAGTAACACACAGAAAGAAAATCTCGCATCCACTGTTTGACTCCTCAAATGGCTGCGGTGGCCAGGGCGGGTCGGCCAGAGCCAAGAAGTCCATCCTGTTCTCCCACGTGGGTGGCACTCGGGCCCCCTTCTGTTGCCTTCCCAGGCTCCTTAGCAGGGAGCTGGAACAGAAGTAGAGCAGCCAGTGCTCAAACCAGCAGTCAGGTGTGGCTTAACCCAGACGCCAGCCCTTATATTAAATTTCTTGTGATTTAAGGTTTTTGTTTGTTTGTTTTTCCAAGAAACTGCTTCAGAGAGGAGAAAGGACTTTCCATCTGTCTCATTTTCAGAGTTCATAAAGCATCCTCAACATTATCATTGAAGAATTATGTTTTGCCTGTTTTCTAGTAAAATTAAATTTAATGAACAGGCATCTATGAGGATACTTAAATAGTTTGTAGAAAAATGAAATCAAAGATAAGTTTATTGGGGCTGGCATTGTGGCATAGATGGTTAAGTCGCTCCCTGCAGTGCAGCATCTCATGGATACTGGTTTGTGTTCCTACCCAGCTCTCCTCTACTGGCTTGGGAAAAGCAGCAGAATATGGCCCAAGTACTTGGGAGACACAGATGAAGCTCCTGGCTTCAGCCTGAGCAAAAAGTTTATGGAAAATAGATTATGAACAAACCATGCACGGATTTCACCGATTTTTGTACCAAAATAAACATCATTTGATGCTGTTTTTCTACTATTTTTCTACGAAGTGTTTGAGTACCTTCATAATGTGTAGTTCCATTCTGAATTTTATTTTCATCAGTGTATTCTGACTCCTGGAATTGTCAACAGAGCAATTGAAATGGAGGGGACCTGAAGTAAAACTTTAAAAATCACAGTTTAGTTGTAAGTGACAGTTTAGGGAAGGTACTACCTTTGTGTCAAGCATCAAATACTGAGAACAGCTAAGTGTTGATTTTGATGTATTTGAAAACTGAAACCAAGTTGAATGGACAAAGTGGTTTCAAGATCACAACAGAAAAATATTTGGATACTGAAAATCACCAACTCTTTTATTATGCATTTCTAGCCCACTGTCAGTTTAGAACATGAATTTTGACTTTTGTTCCAGTTTAGTTCTTTCATTGTCATGCTACTGGACATTTTCATGTGTCCTTCCCTGTTTTGAAGGAAGTTAGAGACACTGGTATGAGGGTGGTGTGTGAGCTTTGTTGCCCCACATTTTATATTGTTTTTACTTTACTTTCCTGTGTCCTCACACCATCTTCACCCTCCCCCCATAAAGAAAGTGGCTGACAACTTTGGCAAAGTTGGAGATACTTGTATTTTATAGGAGAAAGTAATATCCTAATATGAAATCTCTGTCATTGATTACATGTGGCTTTGTTACTGATGTGATGAGACAGCTAATACTATTTCTGTTATGGTAACAGTTTTTTTAAGAAGTATGCTCATTCCATCCTTGCATTTCAGAAGTTTTTTTAAAATCTTATTTTTCTTTTTTATATAGGGTAATGTATTCCAAGATGCTGTCTTCAATCAAACAGTTACAGTTATTGAAAGAGAGGATGGGTTAGATGGAGAAACGTAAGTGCACACCACCGTGTGTAGGTCTTGATCTTGTAAGGCGGGGCTAGAGGCCTTGCTGCAATTTCAGCATGTTAAAATATATAGAGTATAGAGTAGAAGCCAAATGGGCTATATAAGATTTGGCAAAACCCTTGCCATGTAATTCCATACTTTACATACTTATAACTATTAATATCATGCCATCGAGCAGCCAGAATGGGCATCTCTCAGTTCCCCTAACAGAAGGAGAGGGAATGTGAGGAGTCAGGTAGGTTAATAGGAAGGGCCAGGTGGAAATTTAGGGTGCAAAATGCTTTTTTCCCCCAAAAGTTACCTTTAGCAAGATTAAAAATGCTGACCCATTCCTTTACTGTGAGAACAGGGGAGTGGTGACTCTTCCCTTCTGATGGCTACTTTGTCTTTATCGTGAGCAAGCCAGACATGGTAAAAAGATTGAAAATCAGGTCTTTTGATGGTTTTGTCTTTGCCTTGTAACTGATTGTCAACCTGATGGTCAAGTTATTCTTTTCCCTCCAAAATTGGGCTTAAAAAACCCCAATATCACCAGTGCCTTCGGGTTTTTTCCTCTCTTGGAGCCACCCTCCCTGCCACTTTGGCTGCAGGTCTCTGACTTAAACAAACACATCTTGCTTTTCTCAAAGAAAAAAGAAAGCTAGGAAGGATGGATGATTCTGACAAGATAGTCTTGACAGTCGTTCTAGCTTGCTTTCTGTCCTCTTCCAAATTGTTTTCTATCCCATACTTTAGGATGATCACGAGCCTTAGCCAAGTCGCATAATTTCTTACTGTAAATTTATGTGTAATTCACCTATTTTTTTTTTTAAATGTATGCTCTTTATTTGAAAACAGAGTTACAGAGAGAGAGAGAAGCAGAAAGAGAGTCTTCCATCTGCCGTTTCACTCTCCAAATGTCTAAAACGGCTGGAACTCAGCCAGGAGCCAGCAGCTTCTTCTGGACCTTCCATGTGGGTGCAGGGGCCCAAGCACTTGGGCCATGCTCTGCTGCTTTCCCAGGCACAGTAGCAGGGAACTGGATTGGAAGTGGAGCAGCTGGAACTTGAACTGGTGCCCATATGGGATGCCAGTGCTGCAGGCTGGGGCTTTATCCCACTGTGCCACAGTGTCAGGCCCCCCCCCACACACACAATTTTTTAAAACAAATTTTTATTTATTTTTATTTAGACAGCTTGTCCATCCATTAGTTAACCTCACAGATATTCACATCCTGGCTGGGCCAGGTTGAAGCCAGAAGCCAACAGCTCAGTGCAGGCCTCCCATGTGGATGGCAAGGACCCAGCTACTTGAGCCATTTCCTGCTGCCTTTCAGGGTGCACATTAGCTGGAATAGGAAGCAGAAGTGAGAATCAAGTGCAGACACTCCAGTGGGGGATGGAATTGTCCCATGTGAAATCTTTTTTTTTTTTTTTTTTTTTGGACAGGCAGAGTGAACAGTGAGAGAGAGAGACAGAGAGAAATGTCTTCCTTTTGCCATTTGTTCACCCTCCAATGGCTGCCGTGGCCAGCGCGCTGCGGCCGGCGCACCGCGCTGATCCGATGGCAGAAGCCAGGTGCTTCTCCTGGTCTCCCATGGGGTGCAGGGCCCGCCCAAGTACTTGGGCCATCCTACACTGCACTCCCGGGCCACAGCAGAGAGCTGGCCTGGAAGAGGGGCAACCGGGACAGAATCCGGTGCCCCGACCGGGACTAGAACCCGGTGTGCCGGTGCCGCAGGTGGAGGATTAGCCTAGTGAGCCGCGGCGCCGGCCCCATGTGAAGTCTTAACCACTGCGCCAAGTACATGACCCTGAAGTAATTTTTAAATCCTGCTGTGCTGGGTCTACACTTGGTGGCACAGCAGGCATTCAGCCTCGCAGGTAAGATGCCTGTGTGGCATACTGGGGAGCCTGGTGGCTCCTGATGTCAGCTTCCTGCCAGTGCAGATCCTGGGGCAGCAGGTGATGGTGGCGCCAGTAGTTGGGCCCCTGACCCCTGTGTAGGAAATCCAGATGGAATGCCGGGCTCTAGTCCCAGCTGTTGTGGGCACGTGGGGAGTGAAGCAACTCTCTCTCTAGTGAATTTTTAAAAATATTTTTTAGAAAATTAAGACGAGGCCAGTGTTGTGGCACAGTGGATTAAGCTGCGGCCTGCAGCGCCAGCATCCCCTATGGGTGCCAGTTCGAGTCCTGGCTGCTCCACTTCCAATCCAGCTCCCTGCTAATGCGCTTGGGAAAGCAGTGGAGGATTCACCCAAGGTTTTGGATCCCTGCGTCTACAACCTGGCCCAGCCTTGGTCGTTGCAACCATTTGGGGAGTGAACTAGTGGATGGAAGATCTGCTTCTCTCTGCCTTTCAAATGAAGACATATATCTTTAAAGAAAGACAAGAACCCGTACAGTTTTTTTAAATTGTGAACTTTGAATATACAGCATAAATTGTAACTTGATTAATTTTAGATCACATAATTGCTTGTTTAATTTTCTGAGTGTTCTTTAATACAAATTAAAGGAACTTTGTAAAATTTACAGCTTAGGTCTTTCCCACAGTTACTTGGAAAGTTTATTTAAGTATCTTGTATTAGAACTATGATGGTGATTAGCCATGGTGTTTCTTATGAATTAAAGCCAGTTTGTGTTTTTCCCTTTCATGCCAGAATCTTCATGTATATGTTCCTTGCTGGTCTTGGACTTCTGGTTGTTGTTGGACTTCATCAGCTCCTAGAATCTAGAAAGGTAATTGTAGATAAACACATTTTCTAGCCATACTTCAGAAGTTTTTACAGTACTAAGATAAGCGCAGTCTCGTTCTTCATAGCTTCTTTTCTTTCACTGTAGGTTTGCATACTTAGAGCTTTGTTTTAAAAATATTTTTAAAATAAAATCTCAGGATGAGACCTTTCATGTGACTTGAGTTCATTTAGAGTTCCATACACATATGCAGGTAGCGTCCTTGGTCTACATCCAGCTGCCTGGCACAATCATTTGGTCTGGCTCTTCCAAGGCAACCACAGACAGAACTTGAAATTCAGTAAATCAATAGCAAGCTAATTTTTTTTAAGAGATTTTATTTATTTATTTGAGAGGCAGAGTTACAGACAGTGAGAAGGAGAGACAAACAGGTCTTCCATCCACTGGTTCACTCCCCCAAAAGGCTGCAATGGCCAGAGCTGAGCTGATCGGAAGCCAGGAGCCAGAAACTTCCTCCAGGTCTCCTACACAGGTGCAGGGGCCCAAGCGCTTGGGCCATCTTCCACTGCTTTCCCAGGCCATAGCGGAGAGCTAGATTGGAAGAGGAATAGCCAGGACTCCAACCAGTGCCCGTATGGGATGCCGGCGCCATAGGTGGAAGATTAACCTACTGCACCACAGTGCCAGCCCTATTAATTTTTAAGTTGATGATTTTGTATGGCCTGTGAATGATGTTATAAATACCCAAAAGGCCCTTGACAGGAAACAGATTCCCCACCCCTGGTCTGCATCCTCCTGAGTGAAGTTATTGTAACTCTAAATTATGCTAGAATTTTTTTTTCTCATACTCACATTTTGATATTTGATTTGAAAAAGTTTCCTTCACTTTTTCATGTATATTATTTTATCTGTCAACAACTCAGCCTTTGTATTTGTACTGATACTCAACTTACAGAGATAATTCTTATTTAACAAGTTGGCTTTTTCATTTGGAAAAAGAATTTGGCCATATATGTTTTGTCAAACTTAAATTTTTGTGGCTAAGGTAGAGAAGTGTTAACCTTAGCTGTACGGTGGTTCTCACTCTGGCACCAGCTACACTCCTCCCGCAGTCCTGTTTCTTTCCTCCTCTTCAGGCCCTTTCCCTCACTCACCTTTCTTCCCTCTCACCCCACCCACCAAAACAAAACCCCACGATTCCTGTCTGTGGGACTGAATAACACAATTTGTGTGAAATACATTAATATAACCTGTTAGGTTCTAATAGCTGCCAGCTATTTTGGTAAATGCTTAGTTTTAAAATTTTATTTATTTCATTTTCATTAATAGTTGAAATTTTTATTTCACTTTCTTAACAGTTTTTATCCATTTGTATATTAGGTATAGCTATACTTTCTTTTTATTTTCATGAAGCTTATCTTAGTTACTGTGAGTTCGGAATCTAATATGTGGACTACATACATAACACTGTTTCTTAAATGGATAATTAGATGTTTGTAAAATTTTAGAGGAAGACTAAATAATGAAATTGAATCACTTTTACTTTCTAGTAGTTTCGTTTAAATTACTCCAGAAAGGAAAAGGAAAAGATGTTTAAATTAATTAGCTTGATAGCTCTGGTAAGTCAGAGGAAACAAAATAATGGAACTTTTTAACATATGTTTTTGTGTTCTCTTAGCGTAAGAGACCTATACAGAAAGTAGAAATGGGTACGTCAAGTCAGAATGATGTTGACATGAGTTGGATTCCTCAGGAAACTTTGAATCAGATCAGTAAGTACTCCTTAACAAACTCGGCCGGAAGTCCTTTTCTGAAATGGAAATGAAATATTCTAGATGCAGCAGAAAATGCTTTGTCAGTACTTTTTAATAGTCACCTTTCTATTTGTATAGGATCTGGTATAATGATTCGTAATGACCGCAGATTTCTTATGAGTGTAGTGTTTATAAGAAATGCTTCCACATCTGTAGTTTATTTACAGATATGTGACTTCTCCATATTCCTAACCTGTTTCCTGTCTCTCTTCTTTCCTGGTGCTTCAGTGCAGAGTAGAAGAGGTGAGGCATTTAACTTTTTAATGGTGTTTGCAAGAGTTTTGGGAGTGTTTGCAGAGCCTGTGAATACTTTACAGCAGATTTAATAAGTGCTGGAACTGGTTTCTACCACTATTTTACTGCTCACTTCAATTTGAAGAATAAGCCTGAAGTACTACCTGATAGGTTATCTGGCAGATACATTTCAGTTTTATTACGTAGGCAATTTGTTGAAATATTCATCTTTTTCCAATTGTTGAAGTGCTTTAAGAGACAGTTATTATAAAAGGAATATAGCCTGATTGTAAAAAATTAAATAATGCAGAGAAGAAACACTGAGGTCAGTTGCTGGCTTTGCTAATAGTTTTCTGTGAGTAATTGATGTTAAGTTTCGGTAGTGCAGGTGTTTTCTGTGCCTGTGTAAGCATGCATATCTGTCGTTGCGTGAGTGATTAGTGTGGATGCCATCTGCTGTCCACACTTCCACAGCTTTAGTTTTGTGCCTTGGATATCTCTATGCTAGTTACATATGCGTTTACCTTTTATGTAACTAGATAGTATTCTAGGTAAATATGCTGTGATAGATTAAACCTGTTCTATATTGAAGGATTTTATTTCAAGTTTTTCACTCTTAGAATTAATGCATTGAATATTTGTTTACACACACAAACGTTTATAGGATGATTTCTTAAAAGTAGAATCCCTAGGTTTAAAATTATGTGCTTTGTAATTTTTATGGAATGGGTCCCATTTCCTCCCAAAAGATAGTGCCAGTTTATGAGTTCAACATTGTGTTCTCCTTCCCTCTAACTAAGCATTCTCAAGTATTAAATGTTTTCATTTTTTTTTTTAAAGATTTACTTCTTTATTTGAAAGTCAGAGTTACACAGAGAGAGGGGGAGAGGCAGAGAGAGAGAGAGAAAGGTTGTCCATCTGCTGGTTCACTCCCCAATTGGCCACAATGGCCTGAGCTGTGCCAATCCGAAGCCAGGAGCTTCTTCCAGGTCTCCCACGTGGGTGCAGGGGCCCAAGGACTTGGGCCATCTTCTACTGCTTTCTGAGGCCATAGCAGAGAGCTGGATTGAAAGTGGAGCAGTTGGGACTTGACCCAGCGCCCATATGGGACGCCGGCATAGCAGGCGGCAGCTTTACCCACTACACCACAGTGCCGGCCCCTTAAATGTTTTAATTTATCACTGTAATACAAAATAATATATTTTTCATTTAAATTTCTTTAAGAATGAGGTTCTGTTTCTTTGCACATAGATTTATTGGCTGTTTACTCTTTCTTTTTCCTATGAATTGGCTCTTCAAGTCCTTTCCTGTTTTAAAAACTGTGAGCTAGCTCTCTCTGTTTGAGTCATAATTACAGTATTGCAGTTGCTTTATTAAAAATGGGTATGAAGTAGGGCAGGCATTGTGATACAGCAGTTTCAGCCGCTTTGCACAATGCTGCCAGCCTCCCGTATGAGTGCAGTTCTAGTTCCAGCTGCTCCACTTACGATACAGTTCCCTGCTAATGTTCCTGAGAAAGCAGTGGAAGATGGCCCAGGTGGGAGACCCAGATATAGTTCCAGGCTCCTTCCTTAGGCCTGTCCCAGCCTGGCCATTGCAGCCATTTGGGGAGTAAACTGGTGGATGGAAGATATCTCTGTCTCTCCCTCCCTCTCTGTCACTCTGCCTTTCAAATAAAATAAATAGGGTGACACTGTGGCACAGCAAGTTAAACCGCTGTCTACAGTGCTGGCATCGGGTGCCAGTTCAAGTCCCGGCTGCTCTACTTCTGATCCAGCTCCCTGCTGATGGCCTAGGAAAGCAGCAGAGGATGGAGGCACAGGTGCTTGGGCCCCTGCACCCATGGGGGAGACCAGGAAGAAGTTCAGGCTCCTGGCTTTGGCCTGGCCATTGCGGCCATTTGGAGAGTGAACCACGGGATGTGCAAGATACTTCTCTCTCTCCTTCTGTCTCTGTATGTCTGCCTTTCAAATAAATCTTTTTAAAAATAAATAAATATGGGTATATAAAGGAATGAGAGCGTAAGAGTGTCCCTTCCCCTTCATGAGAGTCAGAAATCATGCACAGAGAGTGTTTACCTTTGACTCAAATCTTAAAAGAGTTTGATAAGGGGGCTGTTGCTGTGGCACAGTGGGTTAAGCTGTAGCCTGCAAAACATCCCATATGGGCACTAGTTCGAATCCTGGCTGCACCACTTCTGATCCAGCTCCCTGCTAATGCTCCTAGAAAAGCAGGAGATGGCCCAAGTGCTTGCGCCCTTGTATCCATGTAGGAGACCAGGAAGAAGTTCTTGACTCCTGGCTTTGGCCTGGCCCAGCCCTGGTCGTAGCAGCCATTTAGGGAGTGAACCAGCGGATGGAAGAATCTGTCTTTCCTTCTCTAACTCTGCCTTTCAAATGTAAATGAATAAATTTTTTAAAAAGATTTATTTATTTGAAAGTCAGAGTTTGACAGAGAGAGGAGAGGCAGAGAGAGAGAGTGGTCTTCCATCTCTGGTTTACTCCCCAATTGGCTGCAACGGCTGGAGCTGTGCCTATCCGAAGCCAGGAGTTTCTTCCAGGCCTCCCACGCGGGTTCAGGGGCCCACGAACTTGAGCCATTTTCTGCTGCTTTCCCAGGCCTTAGCAGAGAGCTAGATTGGAAGTGGAGCAGCCGGGACTTGAACCGGCACCCATGTGGGATGCCAGCGCCGCAGGTAGTGGTTTTACCCGCTACTCCACAGCACTGGCCCCAACAAATACATTTAAAAAAAACCAAAAAGTCCTGAATTTTTTTTTTTAAGATCTTATTTATTTATTTCAGAGGTAGAGTTACAGTGAGAAGGAGAGACAAAGAGAAAGATATTCCTTTCACTGGTTCATTCCCCAAATGGCCGCAACGGCCTGAGCTGAAGCCAGGAGCTTCTTCTGGGTCTCCCATGTAGGTGCAAGGGCCCAGGGACTTGGACCATCTTCTGCTTTCCTAGGCTGTAGCAGAGAGCTGTATAGGAAGAGGAGCAGCTGGGACTAGAACCAGTGCCCACATGGTATGCCGCCGCTGCAGGAGGAGGATTAACCTATTGTGCCACAGCACTGGCCTCTTCTCTATAACGCTTTAAATAATTCTTTCTTAAAAAGTATATTAGAAATGGAATAATAATGCATGTTTTTCATGAACTTTTTTTAAAGACAGAAAAAAGAGAAATCTCATGTAAAAGAGAAATTTCCTGTTTGTTGGTTCACTCCCTAAATGGCCACAACAGCCAGGTCTGAGCTGAACCTTGGAACTCTATCCTGGATAGTCTCCCATAAGGGCAGCAGAGGTCCAAACTGGCCATCCAGGTGCATTAGCGGGAAGCTGGATCAGAGTGGAGCAGCCAGGACTGGAACTGGCACTCCCAATAATAGGATGCTGGCATCCCAAATGGTGGCTTAACCTGCTGCACTAAAACACCAGCCCCAACATTTTGCCTTTTTCTAAAATTAAAGAAATTAAAATCAAAATTTTACTGTAATTAGATTTTTCCAAAATTTTTTTGAATAGCTAATGCAGATATTTTCATGTCTCCCCTTTTTTTATTTCAACATCATTGAAGAATGATGTTTTTTTCCCTATGCAAATTATATTTTATTCATGTAGTTTAAGCTCCCCTCTTGAAAGCTAAAATAATTTTACCTTAAATAATTTGGAGTTTTGAAAAATTGTGCTAGTTTTGTTTGAGAAGAGAGATCTGTGGGAGATCGTTTCTTTGAAAAACAATACACAAAAGTAAATTGTTCTTTGTTGAGATAAAATGTGAACTTCTAAGGTGGTTGGAGCCATTTTTGCAAAAGCTAAATGACTACAAAATACTATCTTACTGTATTTCTCATTTATCTACTGCTTCACTTTGACGTGCTAAACAGCTGACAGATGGTGAGGGTTTTTTTTGTTTGTTTGTTTTTAAGATTTATTTATTTGAGAGGCAGAGGCAGAGAGAGATCAATCGATCTTCCATCTGCTGGTTCAATCCCCAGATGGCTGCAACAGCTGGAGCTGCGCCTGTCTGAAGCCAGGAGCTTCTTCTGGGTCTCACACTTGGGTTCAGGGGCCCAAGGACCTGGGCTGTCTTCTGCTGCTTTCACAGGCCATAGCAGAGAGCTGGGTAGGAAGTGGAGCAGCAGGAACTCGAACCAGTGCCCATGTGGGGTTGTTGGCACTGCAGGTGGCAGCTTTACCTGCTATGCCACAGCACCAGCCCCAACTCTTTTTTTTTATGTTTACTTACTGTTACCTATTTGAAAGAGAAAGAGAGCATCCCCAAATGCTCACAACAGCCAAGCCTGGGCTAGGCCAAGCCAACAGCCTGGACCTCCATGGAGGTTTCTCATTTGGGTGGCCCAGGCCCAAGCACATGCCATCAGTCACAGCCCTCCTCTCCACCTCTAGGTGCATTAACAGGAAGCTGGATTAAAAGCTTGGATTATTTTGCACTCCGCTGTGGGATAAGCGTATCCCGAGCCATGACTTAACCTGTATCACAGTGCCTACTCCTGGTCAGGGTTTTTAGACTCACTGTATAGATAATCAGACTGGCCCCCTTACTGATGGAGTTTAATTCACATGTTGAAACCAGCGTTGGAAGTGTCGCTGGGCCCCATGAAAAATCGTATGTTCCCTAATTAAAATGCTGCTGTGTGTGGTTGAAATTACTGGGAGTGGAGGAAGTGTCACCACTTCCCATCTGCAGATTACTAGTCATTGCTCATGCAGGTAGGTGGCTGTTAGATTCTGCAGTGCTTTTTGAATCTTCAAAGATTATATTCAGCATTTTGCTTATTTTAAAAAATTATTTAGAAATAATTGATTACTGAATAAGTCCAGCCTTTTTAAATATCCCATAAACCTTGCAGGCTTTCTTCATCAGAAAACTGCATCTGTGCAAAACTCCATTTTGGCAAACTGAAGAGTCCCCAAAGCTCAGCCTTTGCTAGCTTACTAGCTTAAAGAACTGAGGGCATTTTCCTGGGGTCTGTAAGCACTGTCAGTGTTTCAGTCCTTCACTCTTAAGCAGCTTTCTCATAAGCAGAACTTTGATTAAATAATCACATAAAGCATTTTCTCTAGCTTTTTAAAATATATCGGGTGACCTAATAATTTTGAGGGCAAAAAGACCGTTGAGGCAGATTTTTCCCATTTCATGAAATACTTAAAAATAAATCCATACCTTGGTGAGACTCTTTGTCCAGATCTTTGCTTTTTTTTTTTTTCAAACTGGAAAATTGTTTTATATAAATTATTCCACAGTGAAGTTACTAGTATGTCAAGTGTCTCTGGAAAATATGAAAAAGACAATGATCATCAGAAGATGGTAGTTTCAGCCTTTCACTTTTGAAAGAACTTACAGATAGAAGTTCATGACATTTATTTTCTGTTGAATAGAATCTAACTGAGAGAATAGGAAAGAAGTAAAAAGACAATGCTTATGTGCATGGGATGGTTTAACATTGAATCACTAATTTCCTTTATCAGCTGCTTCTTCCAGGTAGATTTATCAAACTGTCCAGTTATGCGAACTGCATGACTGCATTTATAGTAGTAAATATAAATAGTAAATATTTAACTACTTTGTATTTAAAAATTACTCACTTTTGAGTTGCAAATACCAGCCATTTCTGAAAATGTCTACGTATGCATGTCAAAACATGTCTTATGTGGAGTTCAAGATTTTGCATGTCAACAGCACAGTAACCGAGATTACATCTTTTCTTATCCTAAATCCAGAAGTGCTGCATTTTAATTGAAGTTGCCTATGAAGGTTTATTTTCAAGTTTTTTTTTTTTTTAATAAGCCTGTAGCTAGAAGCTGAAGGCGTTTGCTGTGAGACGCTGTTCTTGCATGTGTGTGTGTTTTGTACAGCAGTGAAGCTGAAGGAAAACGTGGTAGATAACTCCTGTGAACCCAGCTCGTTAAACGCAGCCTATCTACAGTGGACAGGCCAGCTTAAACTTCTCTCTTCTTCCAGATAAAGCTTCTCCGAGACGGCTGCCCAGGAAGAGGGCGCAGAAGAGATCGGTGGGATCTGATGAGTAAATGTTCCCTTGTGCAGCAGTTGAGTCTGTGCTTACCTGCCCTAATGTTTTTCGGCCTGATGGGAATTAGTGCAGAGAAGCCATATCACCATAGAAGGCACCTCCTACTTATGTGTGGACTGAGCGAGCAGATCTGTGGCAATGATATTGCTGAAAATGCACTGCGTTCATTTTTCTAAAGTAACAAATTTGGGTTTTTTTAAACCATTAAAATCTGTGTGTGCGTGTGTATGTATGTGAGCTGTTGGTCTTACCAGAATCATTGTTGAGCTACCTGAAACATGCCTTTAGAATACCAACTATGATGCTGTGGTCACTTCCTTATGAACATTGTCTCATTTTCTTTCCCTCCAAACCTAAGTGAATGATTTGCCCAATATGTTGTAGATGTCCTGCCTTGAGCTGTTTTAAAGAAAATACTGTGTTTTTCCTTTGAATAGCTGCAGTCAAGGTTGATGGCACAAATGATCATTTTGCTCTTGTTGCTGTGTTACAACTGGTGTTCTAAAGGCACAGCAGGAAGCTGCTTTTTAGCAATAGAATTGTTTTGGCATTTTGCTGCTGTTTGCGATAATGCGCACCTTCAGAAAACTTCCCAAAAGGGTTCAAGGAATTTTGGGATCTCTCTAGCAACAGAATTGTGTGAAACATTCATTCAGATATTAATTTGCTTTGAATGTTGCCTGCCAACTTTGATATATATATAAAACCCCCTTTTTTAACAAAGAGAAAACTTAATCTGGGCAAACTGAGTTTGTGTTGTCCATCGTTCTGTTTCTGACCCAAGGATAGCTCTGGAATGATTACAGACCTACTTGGCTTAAAAAAAAAAAAAAAAAAAAAAAAAGATATGCTTTTTTCTGTCCTTAATAGAAGCATCTTTTCTTAAGAAGAGGTGCCTGGTTTACAGACTCCGCTGAAGATCCAGTTATTTCCAACTATTTCTCTTCTGTAAAAAAAAAAAAAAACCAGTCTGAGTTGGATGTTCTTAAAACAGTTATCCATTTGTTTTTATTGAATCTTTTGGAGGGTTTGGTTGTTGACGTGACTGTTTTTTTAGTTAACCTGAAAAATTCTAAAACTTTTAAGCACTTAAAAACATGAGAACCAGATGGGCTTTCTGAACTCCTCTTAGAGTCACAGTTGCTCTAGGTAGTAAGTTAAGTTTGGTGTTATTGTCAGACTGGATTAAGGGTAAAGTAAATTGTATGGACACATTTTAAGCCATGTCCTCCCAGATATATTTTATAAGGAAGTGGTAAATGAAATTTTAGTGGCTTTTAAATTTTTGACCTCTCTTCATTCTCATCGTCTGGCCTATTCCTCTTCACACCTATGTCCACACAAAAAGAAATGACAACCAACAAAAAGAAACCACAGAAAAATCTTCCCGAGCTGTTTAAGTATTGAAGCATCTGAGCCAAAGTCAGTGACAATATAAATTATTGTAGAATCGTTCATCGCTTTGCAAGTAGGGGCTAAGATGTTGTGTTACCTATATTGGCATTGCTGGACTATACACTTTATTCCTGTATAATATAAAGTATTTGATTTTTAATTGGGCTGTATGTGTAGTAGTTTATTTTGAAAAAACTCTGTGAGTTCTAGATAACTGCGTGGGTTTTGGTTTTTTTAATGTAACATAGGAGCCATTTCAAGTATATTCCAGACATTTTTGTGAACATAATAGTTTGCAGAACTAGCAGGAAATGCAGTAAGGTGTAACTACAAGTGTGGCCTCGGAGAGTCTGTCGATAGCTGGCCTTATGTAGACAGTGGAAAGCCCACGCTGGCCCTTCCCACGCCTGCGTCACCTGCTTCGCAGACAGCCCTTCCACCTCTGGGGCTCAAACTCGTACCTCAGAACGGTAGCCTTTATTATTTGTCATGTTTAACTTTTTAGTATAGATTGGGAACAGTTGACAACTCTTAAATCCTCAGATGCCAGGGCTTTACCATAGCATCAGTAAGTATTTAACAGAAACTAACTCCATAATGAATGGAATTGAATTCCACACATGGTTTGTTCAAGCACACTTAATAAGTAGCCTATTTTTAAAAATATCTTTTACAAATGTAAATATTTGGATGAAGTTTTTCTTTGTTTTGATATTCATTTGCTACACCAACCATGGTTTCAGAATTCACATTTTGAACAACTTGGTTTCAGAATCTGTAAAATGAACTTTAAGGATCTTGTATATTAAACCTGTTGGCCAGACATGTGAGAATAATGTGTTCATAAAGCGTCATCTCCGTTGCTTGTGCAGCTCCATCATTCTCAGGGTCTTAAGTAGAGAGTGGATTTCAGGGCTCGTCCCGTCCTCTAAAGCCGGTCTGACAAGGGAGGGAAATGGGGGTTCAGGTGGAGGCCTTAAGGGAAGGAGTGAAGTGGAAATCAGAAGGAAAAAATGACGTTGAAGTAGCTTCCGGAAATGTGTCTGATGGAAGGAAAAGGCAAGTTGGGACATTAAAAATCATTTGAAAGCTACTGCCTTGAAGCCTTATTGTAGCACATGGCCTGGACTGTCATTTGGTTCTACTGGGGAGGAGAGAATGGTGACACAGTGGCATTGAAACTTGTGTGGATAAAGTAAAGCCCAGGAACAAGAGCCACCTGTTGCGGCTTGTGATTTCCATACCCTTGGTGTGAAGGAAGTCACCTGGTTCCTTCGAATAATGAAAGAATTGTTTCGTGTCATCTCTCGGCAAAATTTGATAGGTTATACCCTTGTTTTCACTTCTTATTTTCATTCCAAAATTAATTTTTAGCCTACTAAATTTAAAAACATTTCCAGATAGACTTGAGGTGCTTCGCAGTTTTCAGGTGGTGTCATTTATAGCCGTAGGACTAAAATAAGAAATTTGCTACAGTTTTCTTAAATAAAATCCCACTTTCTTTGAACCGCTGCTTCGAGGTCAGTGTAAGTGGGATGTTGGGTTTCATCGTCAGGGTTGTCTGTGCCAGCAGGACAGCGCTGTGAAACCCACTTGCAGGCATCAGTTTCAAACTTGACTAGTGAGCATTTGTGTGATTGTCCTTTTTCATTTATGTGAAAACCTGGCAGTTACATCCTCTGAAGTTGTGGCGTTTTCCTTTGAGCTTTTGGAATTATTTAGGGATACGGTGCTTCAGCTTGGGTACCACTTAGCTGCTGCCCTAAGGAAGCAGGAAAGGAACTCGATTACTAAGCGTCACTTGCGTGCCGTGTGCTTTTCCATTTATGAACTCAGAAACCTCACAGCCCACTGAAGGAAGGGGATACTGTTCTCATTTTGTAGATGGATGCAGCGAGCCCTGGAGTGAAAGTGGCTTGCAAAGGGTTGCCTGTTGCATATGGGTGCAGAGCTGTCTTACCCTGAGGCTCACATGTCCTCTCCCTATACCACATTGAAGATGGAGAAACAGTTGAACAGCTCACAGATACTTAATTTTTTGAGACTTCCAGCAGTCAAAATGCAGTACTCTCAGAACCAAATGTACCCTGTATGCTGGCCTGTCCAGTGGGGTGTGCATGGCACTCAACTTTAGAGCCCTGCAAAGCCACAGAGAGTCTTGAGCTATTATAAATGGATTTGTTTTTTATATTTGTGGTGTGAATAGCTATTTGGAGTTTGACATTCTGTTTTTGTTATGTAATTCAGTTATTTAATCTCTGCTAATGACACACTTCTTTAAATGCCTTCCCCCATAAGCACGGAGAAGACATTTCTGTAAGATAGTCTTAGTAGGTTGATGGCATTTACAAGCTTTAAAGGGTTTTGAGTGGTCCACTGCATGTTAGAAATGAGGGAGGAGTATCAGCTGTTGGGTTTTCAAGCCAGGAAGTCCAGGAGTGAGCTGAAGAGGGCGAGGCTGTGTCTGGCCATCTGTATGTGGAATTACGAGTTTCTCTCATTGGCGCACTCCAGTATATATGGGAGGCACACGCTGACTGTGTGTCTCTTTCCCTCTGCTGTCCCTTACTGTAGGGACAGTCTGTCTACCTATGCTAGACTGTGAACTCAGTATCTTGTTTTAATTCCCAGCTCTGGTTCACAGGTACCATGTGGGAATCTCTTACTAAGTGTTTAAAGAAAGAACAAGAAATTGTGGTCCAGTTTTCATTTGCCCTTGCTGTGTGCTTAGGGTGGTTCATAAATATCCCTGGTGATAACTCGGTATCATTGGTAGTTCTGTGACACTGAACGAAGGTAGGGTGGGAGCGCTGTGCTAGCCTGGGAATTAGGAGACCCCTGGATCTTGACCATCTGCCCCGGCCGCTGATCCAGGGCTGCCCTTCCCTCTCAGGCTTTCCAGTAAGGTAGGAGGTACTTGAAGTGTCATTCCTAACTTGTCTGAATCTGCCACCCACAGACTCTTAATGTGATTTTTTTTTAAAAGATTGATTTATTTTACTTGAAAGTCACAGTTACACAGAGAGAGGAGGAAAGGCAGAGAGAAAGAGAGGTCTTCCATCTGCTAGTTCACTCCCCAATTGGCTGCAACGGCCAGAGCTGCGCCGATTCGAAGCCAGAAGCCAGGAGCTTCTTCGGGGTCTCCCACAAGGACTTGGGCCATCTTCTACCGCTTTCCCAGGCCATAGCAGAGAGCTGGATCGCAAGTGAAACAGCTGGGAACCGAACTGACACCCATATGGGATGCCAGCACTGCAGGCGGCGGCTTTACCTGCTACCCAACTGCACCGGCCCCTTAATGTGATGTTAAATGGGCTTTCCTTTAAACTAGTTGTTTACTTAGTGGGAAAAAACAACTCATGTTGGACTGCATGGGTTCAAGTTCCTCTCTTTTTTGGAGGCAAGTTATATAAGTGTACTTTAAAATGTTCTTGGAAAATGGAATTAGAAGATAAGCTTATTTTAGTGCAGAATTTGAAATCCATGCAGGCTCTTCTAAAAAGTACATAGAAAATAATGAAAAACTTCATGGGCTTCACAGTTTTTTTTACGCCAAAATAATCTTTTAATTCCATTTGCCATGAACTCTTTGAAGGACAGTTTCATTGTGCTTCAGGTTTTTGCGCCTGCTTCTTAGGGTTGTTAGGAGTTCGCCCGTGTACAACTTTGAAGTTGCCTGCACTCGGTAAGCGGTCACTCTTATTGGGGTTACAAAGTGCCGTGGTGTAGTAATCTCCCCAGGAGTATATGAGAGGAGGATGCAGGGTTGTCCCTGGACTG